TAGTGGGAGTGGCAGTGGCAGTGGTAATGGTAGTGGTAGCGGTAGCGGTAGTGGTGGTACTAGTGGTGGCAGTAGTAGTAGTAGTAGTAGTAGTAGTCGTCTTAGTAGTCGTAGTCGTGATCGTAGTCGTAGTCGTCGTCGTAGTAGTAGTAGTAGTACTACTACTACTACTACTACTACAACTACTACTACTACTACTACTACTACTACTACTACTTCGGCTCTTGTAGAAGTAGCAGCAGCAATAGCCGCAGCAGCAGCAGCAGCAGCAGCAACAGCAGCAGCAGCAGCAAGCAGCAGCAGCAGCAGTAGCAGTAGCAGCAGTAGCAGTAGCAGTAGCAGCAGTAGCAGTAGCGGTAACAGTAGCAGTAGCAGTAGCAGTAGCAGTAGCAGTAGCAGTAACAGTAGCAGTAGTGGTAATAATCATAATCACAATAGTACAGTAATAAAGTTCATAATTTCTATCGATAACACTAATATGATAATGAGAAAAAACGACAAGAAACGGTTACTACTGTGCAGAGTTCATAAGCAGGAACTAACAAATAAGCCTTAATCAACTTGAATAAGCTTTTTGATGGATTATAGAAACTGCTGCATCAGCAAACAGCAGCGCCGGCAACTGTCCAAGAAGTGCAGGAATGGCCTAGAGATGGTTGAGGTAGGGTTGCGCGGTGTAGACCAAAGGATAGGGGTTAAGGGTTTATGGGTTTAGGGTTGAGATTAGTTCAGGGTTTAGGATCCAATAAATCGGAGATGCAGCTGGTAGCTGGTGAGCTCAGGCGGTTGCCAGTTGACTGTGTTCTACCACTGGGCTTGGTCCATGCACTCCGGGTCTTTACTCCTTCTCCTCCTCCGCTCTCGTGCAACTCCTGCTGTGGCTGTTCCTCGACTGCTGGATACTTCTGGCCTTCTAGCATAATAGCTACTGTATGCTCCTGCGTCTGCTGTTGCGGCCCGTGCTACTTCGGCTGCCGCTGCTTGCTTCTACTTCTGTTACAGTACTAACACTTTGAACGAATTTTGCAGCCAGTGCTGCCACTGCTGTCTGCGGCTGCAGTGATGTTTACAATGACGAAGATCAGGATAGAGGTGTTGCCGCTGATGCTTGGGGTCGGTGTCTGTAGTGGCGGTGGTAGCAGCTACTATTCTCAGAACTGTTCTTGCCCCCACTGGTCTTCTATTTCTGCTGGCACAACCACCAGCACGACAAATCTCATTTATGAACGAAAACCTTGGTAGGATCGTGAACATAATCATTGATGTTCCTTGAACTACCAAACCTACCTTTTTGTCTATAGGGTCCCTATGAACTATACATTTATTCTATCACAAGAATCCGCAAAAAAGTAGGTTATGGTAGTTTAAGGTTTCTCTTGCAGCTCGATGTCCAGCCTGGATCTCGTTGCGAGTGAAGCGGTCCTGCAAATAGCAGGGGCCCTCGTCGCTTATACTATATATATATATATAACTATACATACATGGTAATCTAGATTGGCCTGCTCAAGGCTCTGAAACATAATCGTGAACTAAGGTTTTCACTTAGCATCACACCCAAGGCCTACCTAGTAACTGACATGTCTTGGCTACATGAGCAGTGCTTACCTGTACCGGACGCAGGAGTGGCAAACTTGAGAGATTCAAGGTCGAAGCCGCAGCTGTCATGTAATTGGTCATGTAGGTCGAAGATACGATGACTGCAATCTGGTTCCAGCGTTTTTGCAAGTTTGGAATTTGGGGCCTTTGAACCAACCCTAAACCCTAAAACCCGAAAACCTCAAGCCTCAAGAAAAGCGCCTGCACATCCCAGCGCCGTGCAGGCGGGTGGCCGGCATGGAATGCTTCGGCATGCACACCGCCTGAACGCTTGGACTCGGCGCAGTGAGGTGAGGGATAAGTCTCATATTTATTGCTACAAGAATCATGATTTTTTTACTACGAGTATGACTATATTTCTCTTTTCATAAATAGTTCTATATGGCTGCCTGGCAAGCCGGATGCAAGCGGCTGCATTTCTCCTCAAAGCGCCAGCAGTTTGATACTTTGAACTGCGCCGCAGTTTCCTGAGATGCAGCGGTAAGGATTCAGCGCGGCACAGTCTTGGGGCTTCGGCCCTTCATCCTACCGCGCTTGCGAGCAGAAGATTGTGGCTCGCTTGAAATGTGATGAGCAGGTGCCGTCTTTGGCCCCACTCACACTGAACAGCCAAGATTCATAAACTCAAGAAGCTCTCAGGGCACAGGACGAGAGGGAAATTGCTGCAAGGCACGACAAAGGCGCTGCCATGGAGAAGGATTTCATGTCCCAGAGCGCCAAGGAAGCCTACTGGAGCTTCTGGGGTTTTCAAGTCCATTTAAAAAAAAGGGCGAAAAGCATAATATAGGAGGGAGGGGGCTTTGTAAGTAGGATAGGGTTTGGGGCTGATAATCTACTATGACATGTCTATGATGCTATATGATTATGTCATGAGGGCATCCACAGGAATAGCATCACTAAGTCTAAGTGTTCAAGCCCACCGATCTTTGTGCAGGCAGCTCGTCCTTAGCGCTGGGGCAGAAATTCCTTTGCAGGCTAGACAGATTGAAAGTGAAACATGTCTGTTGCACGAAGCGCTGTCATCAGAAGCGAAGCAGCATTAAGACCAATACGACCCCCACATAGCAAGCATCTACAATGGCGATGAATGCCAACACTCAAACGAAATTTTGATACCAAGTGGAAGATCAACTGGTAAACACATCTCGGCAATGATAAAGAGGGTCCCTATGGCAAGGCTCTGCGGTGCCGCAGGAAGGGCCAATGCAACCCAACCGCAGGTTGCAGTAGCAGGTCAGGATTTTTGGAGCATTGGCAGGGTTCAGAAAGTTGCTGTGCCACTCTGTGGCGATGGCAAACAGCCATGACGCTGGCACTTTCTTGGGCAAAGCTTGGCCAACAGTCGCTAAATCATGAGACGCTGGTCCGCTGGCTTTTCAATTTACAGGGATCAAATCAGGCATGCGATCACCTAAACCCTAAACCGTAAACCGAATCTGAGAGGCAGAACTGGGGAGCCGGCATCAGCAGCTGTAATGTAGGGGCCTTAACATTTAGACTTGGGTCTCGGGGTATATTATGCTATAAATCGAATAAGGAAGCCCCAAACTAGTATGGGTAATTATTTAAGGCCCCTGTAGTAAATGAAGATGCTTTTGGGAGTGGAAGGAGTTGTTTTTAGACTGCATACTAGGGGCCAAAGGAGTGGCGAGAACAGCTGTATAATGTAGGGGCCTCAAGAATTAGGACAGGGTTTGGGCTCCTTTTTAGTATAATTACAAACCTCAGGAATGATAGTGGTAATTATTTAGGCTTCTATATTACAAACAAATCTCCGAGACAACCGGATTTCTCACCTACAACGGGCCAGTAGCAGCCACTTTTGGAGAGTTTCCCACCTACAATCAGGATGGAATTGTTCGTGCAGGATCGCTAGCGTGCCTGAAGACCGAAGTTGGCCTGTCTCAGTACTCGACTTGGCAAGCTCCAACAATCTATTCGGCTCTTACCATTCGGCCGTTTAGGGTCTATAATTTATAAGGCTTTAGGGTTTGGGGTTCTTGCGTCACCGGAGTCTAATCAGCAATGCCTCGGTGCATTCCATGGTGGCCACGGATAAAAGCTATCGTGCCACAACACGGTCACAAGTAATGCAACATTCTGAGAACGTTTAAACGCATAAGTCAGCTGTCTTGACTTTGGTCACTTCGTAACAACATGACACAACCGATCTTCTGTGTGGCATATTGTGGCATGACGACTTGATCCCCGAAGGTTGCGTCCAATACGTTTCAAACAGTCAGAAGCTGCACGTTCCCAGGCATTGGAAACAGGCCTTGCCAAGCACCCACGACATGTCCATGCGTTATGGCAGGTCAACTTGACGGAAGGACCCTCGACCTGCGCAGAACTCAAGGCACGTGGCGGGTGCTTGTCAGATAGACAATCCGAGCCTTGTCCGCGACGAAATGAAATTGCATCCCTTGAAACTGCCAGGCAGGTGATATAGGAACCCGTTCTAGAAACCCTGGGTCTTTGTTAGGGTTCTTGTTTTTAATTTGGGGGTTTAGGACCAGGGTTTCTTGATCAGGTTCCTACATTACTCTGACTCTGGGCGGTAAACTAACTCGCCAACAAAACTGCAGCTGCAGCTGAGGACCGAGGATGGTGGAACCCCGCAGGAAGGGCACACCGTGATAGAACATTAAAAGTCAGATCACTTCGGGATGCCTCGTGTTGCACCTTGCGTGTACTGCAGCTCTGCGCAGTACGCGACACCGATACTCTAAGCCCTATAAACCGTACATACCCTAAATCCACCTAAATCCAATACCTCTCGTTGTCGCATGCTCAGGCTTCAACGAAGGCTTCGCTGCGGAGGAGTCGGAGCTCTTCCTGTAGGCGACGTCGAATGTCCGGCTCAACGTTCCGAATAAACGTGTCACCTCAAGTTCGGAGTTTGCGGCTAAGGGCTTCGATCTTACAGCGCTTAGTGCCAGAACAGAGTAAGCTGAGTGAGTAAGCTTTCAGCTTCAAAGGAACGAAGACCAAAGAGCTAAGTCACCCAGCATGGCTGCCACAGACATGACAGCAACCTTCTCGTGAAGTCGTGAGCCTGTGGATTCTGACGACTCTGGGGCTTCGTGACGCAGCCCTTCCTCGATGATGTCCATAAGCCCCGTGACTTGCGAGGCTAGCTCCGGAAACTTCCGCACCTTCTGGCACAAGCTTTCGCGAAGCAACCACAACTTCGCAGAGCCATTCATTTGGTTGATCTTCTCACGAACACGCTTCGAAAATGACTGCTGCTTCTCGTCGTGGGCATGATGGCAGTACTTGCAAGCCATTCCATTTCGGCACTGGCCCAAAGCCAGCAAGAGACAAGGCCGACAACAGAAATAGGGATGCCCCAGGCTCCCGGCTACATCCGAGTCTTGGCCATCAGCCACTTGAATGCTTTGCGGTGCCGGTGTGGGGGTAAAGGCGATGTCACTCATGTTTTCCGTCAGAGCCCTGTGCGGGATGGGGAGTGGGAGTGAGAGCTTCGCCTCCGCAAGGAGCCCTGCCAGGTAGTCGTCCTCGCACTGAGCCACGCAGTGAGGATGGGTCGGCATTGCCGGCGTGCTCGTGCAACGCCTGAGACTCGGCCCCTCCTCCTCCTCCACATCGATGAAAGTCAGCTTGGACTTGAGCTTCATTCCGGTCGTGAGCATGGCTTGACAAGCGGACCAGCTTTGCAAAGATGAAGGAAAGTGGAAATCTTAATACTCTTGAGCCCATGCAGGCCAAACCTTCAGGGACAGCACCTGCACAATGAGCCCCGTGCAAGAGGGCATAACAAGACAGCATGCACGAAGCATTTTACCCATGGAGCCATGCGGTTGGATGATCTGTTGTGGTCGGGACGGGTCCTACATGGGTCTCGAATCCTTCAGCATCGTGCAGTGTCTCGCGCATCGCGTAGAGCACCATGTCTGTCGCCAGCATGAAGGCTCCAAGCTCGTCCAAGAACCAAGCGCCATGCCTGTCGCTGCCATGGAGTGCCATCACAGAAGCGCCTCCTTCGGATCATTGCGGACATCGGACCTAGCCTCAGCTAGATCGCCGCGTCGCTGACATGGTCGCAGGAGTCGCTTACGTTTGGGCAACCGGGTAAGGACCAGACATGATAGCTATTCAAACCACGACCCTCACATGAGGGCCAAGTCGGCTCCAAGGATATAGCTCTGCCAACAAGCCCTGAGAGATTCCTTGCCGCTTTCTTGTTCTTTATGGTTGTGACCACCAAGATCACTACCAAGCATGAATACTATGCTTCTTGTTACTATGACTCCAACTATTGAGTAGCAGTGCCATTCTTACGCGTGTAAGCTTGCAACCACCATTAATGCACGAGTACTCGTCAAGCTACAATCGAGGCGGCATTTATGCAAGCGCGATTTTAACTTGCGTTCCCTGCCATCATGCTCGCTTGTGTCATTATTATCTTGCAGCTTAGTACAAACGTGCTTCCTCCTCTCCTGGCTCATTCTGTTGCAACGTGTAATCGCACAAGTATCAGCCCATTGTCATCAGCATTGCCAATACGCTTCTTACTACGGTCAAAAGCCGTTTGGTAGATGCAAATCCATTGCGAATAGCCTTCCTATTGTTGTTGTTGTTGCTGGCAAGTTCTATTAAGTTCTATTATTGCCTAGTCTCGTCTTGCTGAACTGACAAGCATCAACGATGTTCTCTGGGCAAAACACCAAAAATGTCTTGAACATGTGCGTGTGTAGAAAAAGCAACTGCGCAATATAAAGGCTTGGCATAAGTGGCGGCAAGCAGCTCTCATGCGCGAGCCCCAAAGGCCTGACATCGTCAAGGCCAGCGCCAGGGCAGGGAAACCCCTCAGCTGGGAGCAAACTGCGGTCTGTTGATGCCCTATTTCCCAAGAGACCAACGCAAGGATCCGAGCAAGCATGGCTTCCTGCGATCCGCCCTCTCAAGTGGTTGATGCGAGTGGATGATAACGGATGCCCAGTACAGGGTTCAGGGTTTAGGGCAGGATGCTTTCCGATCAATCTGACGTTCCACGTGGAACCTAGCCTGGGGTCTCGTTTTACTGGCTTCCTTCCGCAACCTCAACACTGAAAAGGCTGACTGCCGGATCCTTGTTGGCATATATATATATACATATGTATGCATGTACATACATACTAATATATGTACACCTACAAAACACACACAGGTCTCAACCCTCTACAAAGATAGCTGGGTTTGAAAAGTATGGGAGCGGTATTAAATCATGATGAACAAGATCAATGCAGCCTCAAACACGGATGCGGGCTATGTTTTAAATCAATACCAACCATTTGTGACGGTGCAAAGGCTACGTCTCGATCAAGCAGCCCACAGCAGCTATTTCCGACAGGCAGCAGGCCAACTGCAGACCAGCGCGAATTTTCTGCGGCTTGCTGGATCGAGACGGGTACCTGAGCAAGAGCGCAAGATCTGCAGATGTTGGTGCATCTTCTGGAAGCTCAGGCAACAGGAATGCGCTTCCGCCTCGGCCAGTGCCCGAATTGGAGTCGCCGGCTCGCAGCCGTTCTCTTCACAATGCTTTATCGCCTGGTCGAAGAACTGAGACTCGTACCTCGCCATGCGAGTTTAGGGTTTAGGGATGTTCAGGATTTAGAAGGCAAAGTAGTGGAGAGTGCCGATGCTTGCATTGCGGAAGCCTGAAGTTGGATGGTCACCCGTAAGAACTCATGAGACGTAGCATAACGAAAGCAGTGAGCAGCCAAAACCAAGGAGAAGCGCGCGACATGGGGACAATGCCTGTTGAAAGTGCACAACAAAACGTGGCTGACAGAGAGTAGGGTAGGGTGACGGTTCGATCGAATGATGTCTGGATCCAAATTAATTCCTTCACTTCACTGAACACAGGAAATCTGATGCAAACAAAGTCTAGGATGCTTCATGGCCGTGTCGTAATGGAACTGTGCTCGCGCAAGCCACTCGTCGGATAAGCCATGCGCGGCATACTGCCTCGTGGTTCAGGGTTCATGGTTGAAGCTTGTTGTTCTGGGCTGTGGACAGTCAGATCCCCTTGATACGTTGGAAGGTTAACGGGTTCAGGGTTTAGGATTTAAGGTGAAGGGTGGGTTTGTGTCTCAGGGGTGGCAGGTCAAGCATCGTTGCTACAACTCGTCATGCCGAAGCGGTGATAATGCCAATTTGGCCTGTTTGTGGCTCTCACCATCAAAGCCAATGCCAACACCAACTCCGCCGAAAATTAATAACAGCAGCAACAACAAACACCACCACAGCTAACACCACCTTCACCATCCACAACAACAAACACCAGCACCACCACCACGTAACACCACCACCACCACCACCACCACCACCACCACGTCGTAACACCAACACCACCAACACCAACAACACCAACACCAACGCCAACACCGACGCCAACGCCACCACCAGCACCAGCAGCACCAGCAGCAGCAGCAGCAGCAGCAGCAGCACCAGCAGCAGCAGCAACAACAACAAGAACAATAATAACAATGACAAGAACAAGAACCACCACCACCACCACCACCACCACCGCCACCTCCAACACTACCAACATCTGCACGACCACGAAGACGACGACGACCTTGCCTTCGACATCGAAAAGTTTAATATGAGTACCGGCAGGAGGGTGCTTAAAAGAACATGCTCGGCTGAGCCGTGGCTCTCCAGAAAGGATTCCATCTTCAGAGTGATCGCATGGTTGATGGGAGCAGCGTACCTCGATGGGAAGGGGTGGGGTGGGGGGGTGGAGAAGTGGCATGTTCTGGATCGTCGGTTTCAGGCTGCTGGTTTTAATCATCTACTAGTACGGGATAGGTTTTGGGGCGCTTAGGGTTTTGCGGCTTAGGGTTTCTGGGTGATGGTGTGGCGTCTGGCATGACGTTAAACTCCCGCAGGAGTGCTCCTCAATCAGCCCGAACGTCAAAAGAGCTGGGCCGTCGGAATTGTTGCACCCGTTCGCCATGGGTCGCGGAGCACAGAGCCCTAGCTGGGGGTTCTCAAAACAGAGGGTCATTAATAATTAAGTAGAATAGCTGGGTGTTGTAGATATACTGCAATGTCATGGGGTCTCATAGTGAATTAATCACAAGATCAGCTGCTGCTCGATGAACTTCTTGTAAGGATTGTCCTCTGCAATGTGCCTTGTGCGATTCCTTAGTGGCTGAGAGTACCCGAGCCCAAAACGTGGTGAACCATGTCGGATTTCTGTACCAAAAAAGGTTTACAGCTACTTGCCCAAACCCTAAACCCTAAACCCCTAAACCCTGAACCCTAAACCCCTAAATGCTAAAACCCAGCTGCTAAGATTCAGTGTTGCAAAGAGCCAGTCGTAGAGTCGCTGGCATGGGAGGACGGAAGCATATCCTCGGAAGTTCAGTTAGGGCTTAGGGTTTAGGGTTTAGGGTAGCCCACGGAGAAAAATCTAAGATCGACTTTTGGGGGTTCGTTAGGCTAGAAATGGGAACCCAGACAAAAAGCAAACACGTATCCTACACCCTAAACCCCAGACGCATGAACCCTAAACCCTCAAGTACGCCCCTGATGCAGCCCGAGTATCCCATGATCATGTCATCGCCCCAGACTGATTCCAGGATGAAGGAAGTATAGGCAATCGTGGTCGCCTCAGTGCTGCAGCGATCTTCCTGTGTCCTGAAAAAAGCTTCAATCTAGAAACCAGAACGTGGTTTCAAGGTGCAGTATGTCTCACGGTATCACCTTTAACCATGCCGAGCAACCTTTATAGGATAGTATTGAGTTTACTTAGGCTTCTCTATTAGACTTGTCAGACAGCTCTGGGCTTTCGGAGGACCGAGGCCCTCACCGAGGCTTCCTTTTCGAAAGTGCTTTCCTGGAGCTCGCTGTTGGCTTTCTTGCCGTGCTCGTGCAGGAAACCCACCTTTCTGGCTTACTGCTACTACCCGGCCTACCCTCGGTCTGGTTTAGGGTTTAGGGTTTCGGGTTTAGGGTTTAGGGTCCGGCTTAGGATGTACAGGGTTTTAGGGTTTCGGGTTTAGGGTTTCGGGTTTAGGGTTGAGGAAAGTTTAGGGCTTTGGTTCGGGCTTCGGGTCCTGCTCTGGAGCTCATCTGGAGCTCAAGGACTCTTCGTCGAGCTCTCGGTACAGGAAAGTCAGAGCTCCCTAAACCCTAAACCCGAAGCGGCCCTAAACTTCCTAAACCCTAAACAGCCCTAAACCCTAAACCCTAAACCCTCACCCCCTAAACTCCCTAAACCCTAAACAGCCCTAAACCCTAAAGCCTCACCCCCTAAACTCCCTAAACCCTAAGCGGCCCTAAACCCTAAACCCTCACCCCCTAAACTCCCTAAACCCTAAACGGCCCTAAACCCTAAACCCTAAAGCCTCACCCCCTAAACCCTAAAGGGCCCTAAACCCCTGCAGGCGAACCACTGATTGGTTCAGCAACCAAGCCAGCTCCTTGGTGCCCGCCGCCTGGACGGCAGATTCAAAGCCATGAATGCAAGGGTTTAGGGTTTAGCTTTGTTTAGGGTTTAGGGGGTTTAGGGGTTTAGGGGTTTAGGGTTTAGTTTTGTTTAGGGTTTAGGGGGTTTATAGGGGTTTAGGGTTTAGGGTTTAGGTTTTTTTGTTGACACCTCTTTTCCGTCCGCACTAGTTTGCTTAGTTGGAACGCCTTGGAGGCTGAGGCGCTGGGACACGGATGAACACAATAGAGTGACATCACCAGCAACTGTCCCTCAACTCCCCGGTTGCTGCCCTAGTGTAGGATTTAGGGTTTAGGTAGTGCAGGGCCACTATCAATTCTAGATTTCAGGTGCTGTTGTAGTGCACGGCACTGTACATATGAGGAACAAGAAGTTTCGATACTTGAACTTACACACTCACACGTGAAAAACATCTTTCTCGAAAGGCCTTGATACTAAACCCCCTCTGAAAATTCTCACTAAGGGAGGGCATGTACTAGTCAGGGCCCTATCCCCTAAACCTAACTGCCAAACCCTGAACCCCAAACCCTGAACCCAAAACTCTGAACCCCAAAAACCCTAAACCCAAAACCCTGAACCCAAAACCCTTGAAAACTCCCTAAAGGAACCCTGTAAACCCTAAACCCTAAACCCTCCTTAAAGGAGCCCTTTAAAGGAAGCACAAACCCTAAACCCCAATATCCTTAATCAAATCCTAGTACCCCTATCAACCGCTATTTAAACCCCAATATCCTGAAACCCTTAGCCCTCATCCCTAATCCCACTATCCCAAACCCTTAGCCCCAAACCCGAAACCCTAAACCTCAAACCCAAAACCCTAAACCCTCCTTAAAGGAGCCCTTTAAAGGAATCCCAAACCGAGGCAAACGGGCCTTGGCACCCAGAACTCCGAAGGCGCGGGCGTACTTGGAGAGGTAAAGGTTGTCCTGCTTCCTGGGTTTCGGGTTTGGGGGTTCCTTTAAAGGGCTCCTTTTAAGGAGGGTTTAGGGTTTGGGATAGTGGGATTAGGGATTAAGGCTTTGGGTTTCAGGATATTGGGGTTTAAATAGGGATTTATAGGGGTGCTAGGACCTGCTAGGATTTAATTAAGGATATTGGTGTTTAGCGGTTTTGGGGTTGCAGGGTTTGCGGTTCAAAGGGGTTGATAGGGCCGGGGCTCCACTAGTATGGGAAGAGACACAGCAGCTTTTACGGGATTCTGACCTGTTGAAGATGGAGGTTTCACTAGGGCGTGGCGACAAGAGTCCGCAGCTCCTGCATCTGTATCTACCAGGCCAAACGAAATGCGGTGCTGTGAAAACCGAGGGCAGGGGGAGAAGGGGGGGAACGGAGGCGGGAATGGTGCTCCTGGCATCCAAGGCACAGGTAGTAGTCGAAGGCCGCTTGTGGCAGTGAGCCATCAACCATCTGGCTGATGAAGCGGCCGTGCAGGCTCTGGTTGGCGTATTTGAGGGCGCCCTCGAACAAGCGATCGCCCAGGGTCACCTCTGGGAAGGAGGCCGTGCTTCGCATCTCAAGTTCTCAATCGGAGACTTCAAGAAACCCCTGGCGCCTCTGCAGTCGTGGTGCATACCAGCAGGAGCTGCAAGACCTGGGAAGCACATGGCCCAGTTTTACTGGACTTTCTTCTATGTCTCCGAATATACTGTATAAATGTACACGTAAGATACATGTCATGTCATGGTACAGGTGATATACATGAAATGTAACGTCATGTAAACTGGCGAATATATGTCCACACAATCTAAGAGTCGATCGTATAAACATGTCATGTCGTAAACAAAATGCCAGACCGAATAAGATAGAAAGATAAAGCGAATATAGCATGTTTTGCAACAATACAATACCATAGAAAACAATAGAATCCAAAACAACACAATAGAATGGAATACAGATGCGACGGAATGCACTATGAATCACTATGATGTATATAATTGTGAAAATCTGCCGCCTGCTAACTCTGGAAATGCTGTAATTCCTAAATATGCGTTTCAATTGCGTTTTGAGATCCGTTTGGGGTTGTCTGGGAGATTGCGTTTTCGATGCGTTTGGGATCCGTTTGGGTT